AAAAAAAATAAATAAAAGCTCCAAACAACAACAAAAAACCCTGAAAATATGTGCAGAAACTGGAACCCTCATACATTGCTAGTGGGAATGTAAAATGATGCAGCCATTGTGAAAAACAATTTAGCAGTTTCTCAAAGATTAAATGGAGTTACCATCTGACCCAGCAATTTCACTCCTAGGTTTATACTGAACTAAAAACATATTTTCACATTAAAACTTGGACATGAATGTTCATAGCAGCATTATTTATAATAGTCAAAGAATGAAAACAACCCAAATGTCCATTAACTAATGAATGGATAAACAAAATCCATACAGTGGAATATTATTTGGCCATAAAGAGGAATGAAGTACTGATCTATGTTACAACACGGATGTACTATGAAAACATTATGCTAAGAGAAAGGAGCCAGACATAAAAGGCTATTCTCGTATAAAACCATTTATGTAAAACCTCCAGAACAGGCAAATCCATAGAGACAGAAAGTAGACTGATTAATGGTTGGCAGGAGATGGAGGGAGTAAGGAATTGGGAAGTATGGGGTTTCTTTTGAGGATGGCGGAAATGTTCTGGAATTAGTGGTAATAGTTACATAACACTGTGAATATATTAAAAACTACAGAGTTGTATATTTTAAAATGGTTAAAATAGTAAATTTTACGTGAGTTTTATCTCAATAAAAAAATGGAAAATATGTGTATCAAACCCATCCCACTTCTCTCCATCTCCCCTGCCACAAAGATACCATCAGGTCTTACCTACTTTTGTAATAGATTCCAAACTGACCTATTATACTCTCACCTGCTCCAATTTATTCTCCATACAAGTTAGTTTTTTTAAAAAACAGAGATCTGATCATATTACACCCCTGTTTAAATTCTTTCAATGACTGGCTCCCATGACACTTTGAATAAAATTCAAACTGCTTGAAATGTCCAACAAGGCACTGCAGGATCTAACCCACCTACTTTCTCTGACATCATCTGCCACCACTCCCCTGCCTGCTCATCAGGCTTCAGCTACACTGGCATTTAGAAATGTCCTGAACATATGAGCACGTGCGTGTGTGTATATGTGTACTTTGCTTGCATTTCCCACTTCCAAGGCCTTGGCAGGTGCTAGTCACTGTATCTAGAAATGCCTTTTCGTGGTCTTTGCATGTGTGACTTCTTATCCTCTAACGTGTGCCCTTGGGCAGGTTATTTAATCTCTTTGTGCTTCTGTTTCCTTATACGTAAAATAACATTAATGGTAGGATCCTATCACAAGACTCTTGTCAGAATTATTACTTATTACTATTATTATGGTCTTAGCTCATGTAACTCCTCCTCAGAGAAAACTTCACTGATAACGCCCCCCCCCAGTTTTCTCTCACATATAGCCTGTTCATTTCCTTCAGACCACATAACAATTGAGATTATTTATGCACATCTTCAGTGTATGCTTTCCCCACTAGCCTCAGAACTACCACGAAACCAGTGTTCAGTCTGCTTTGTTTACTGTTCCATACACTGTGCCTTGCACACAGAAGACTCTAAGAAAAAAATCTGTTAACTACAGAATTACTGCATGAATGAACTCACATGCCTACCAGGACACATGGTAGGAACTCAGTAAATGTTAGTTTTCCCCATCCCTCTTGCCTTTCCTCTATGGGTCTGTTTTCCAGACATAGATGAACATGGAGGAGGAACTTGAGCAATCATGTGGTTCCATCTTTAATATGCTACAATTCTATCATTCTATGGTGAAAAAGGAGGCCAGTACTAGGATAAGGAACATATAAAGTTGGTTTAAAAACACTTTTAGAGAAATTCCATTTCTCATATAACTTAGCATCCATCATGAAATCAACTGTTTTTTTCCCCTGAGCCTTGTCTCTACGTTATAAAGCAAATAATGATAAAGTAATTCTCCTACATAATGCTCCCTGTCTCTCTCATATGCATATACACAATGTGCACGCACACTCACCCACGCATGTTTTTCAGCTTGGAAATAATCATTTCAATGGCTAACAAAGTTTTCTCTAAACAGCAAGTGTTTTGACCTTGTCGGGCAGGCAAATGGTTAAAATTAAAAATGGTGCCAATCTTTCTGGAATGGTTTATAGCCCTCATATCATCCTTCTGTTCAGACACAGATCAGTTGCTTGTCATTACTCTCCCTTTTTATTTCTATTTATTCCTCCTCCTTCTGAAGAACTAGAGCTAAGAGGCTACAGGGCTCACAATACCTCAAGACAGGAAGACTCAATGAGATGGATGACAAATGTGAATGCGCTTCATAAGCCATAAAGTTCTTTAGAAATGCAGAGTGGGATGTTAGAAAGGGCCTAAGTTTTGAAACCAGACCCATTTCTTATTCAAACCTCTTACAGGATCACATGAGGCCAAAAATGGATACTGCAGGAACTAATAATAATACTGATTATTATAATAAGAGCTAGCATTTATTTAGAACTAATTGTTAAGTAAACTCTGCTAAATGTTTGTTTAAATTATCTCATGTGATTCTCACAATAACTCTTAAGAGATGGGCTATCATAACCTTTAAATTATAGCTGAGAAAACTAAGGCTTATAAAGCTACAGTCATTTGCTCAACATTCTACAACCAAGGTAAGAGCCAGGACTCAAACCCCTTGTCAGCATGACACCAAAGCTGCTACTTTAAACATCAATGCCTTCTTTCTCTAAAGTTATTCTAAATGTAATCAATGCCCACTTTCCAAGGCTTAAAATCATCTTCCTCTTCCTCTTCTCTTCCTCATAAACATACCGAAAGCTCTGCCTGAAGCAGTCTCCAATAAAAGGAACTAGATGTGAGGAGCTGCTCAGGAGAATTGTTAGGAGATTGAGACTCTAAGGAATTTTGCCACTGTCAGCTGACTGCAAGGCAGTCATCGTTT